TTCTTCATCCACCTTCAACAGCCAGACCAACGGCCTCAAGTTAATCTTGGACTCGCCACAGACCTCATGCCCTTTGTGACAGCCAGTGGCGGAACTGATGGAAAGGCTGCACCACTGGGGGTCCCCAGGGCCTTTTCCCTGTGCCACCCTGGCTGTCTCCAAACCAACTGCCACCAGCCCAGACCTCCCACCTGCACTCCCCACCCAACTGCAACTGGCACAATGACCCCATGGCCCTGCCTCACCTACCCAAACCTCACTGGACAGTCACTCTTCCAGTTGTGAGAGACTGCGTTTCCTCTCATCTCCCCTCACAGCTTTGCTGGGACAAGCTCCCTGTGGTTTTGCCATCCCCACTCACCCTCCCATTTCTGCCCCGTTCAGGCTGTCCCTGTATAATTCATGTTTGCCATCTCCTTCGGTCCTCATCCTCTCCCTAATGTTCTCCCTTGCTCTCTCCCTCCCATTTCCCCACTGCAGGCACTGGCCCATACCTGCTCTCCCTGGTCCTGCTGGATGAGAAAGGTGATCTCTTTCTGCTCCTGTGCTTCCAGCTTCTTCATGAAGAAGAGCAGCTCCCACCACTCGGCACGGCTCAGGGCCTCTGCAGCCTTGGTCGGTGGCTGCCCCAGGTAAGGCAGGGAGTACACACCTCTCAGGGACTTGCACAAAAATGGTTGTGCAACTGCAGGAGAGCAGAGCAAGGAAGGGCACTGTCAGCTCTGCCAACTCCCCCATCCTCTATTGTACACTCCACATTCCCCAAGGAAGGAGCTCATGTGGACAGTGTTCACTGTACCACAGACTGCTAGGGGAGAGGGAAGAAAAGTGGGAGAAGGGGGAACATTCTGGAAGGAGACTGATAGGCTGCTCACCTGCTCTCAGTCTGTGTTTTTGTGTCAACGTGTTCACCTTCTCTTGGCCCTCGAGCTCCTTTTGCTCTGAAGGGCCAATCATCTCAACCATGTGCCAGTGCACCCAGTATGTACAGCCCAGGGCTTGCCAGTACACCTGAGGAGGAAAGCCCAACACAGGCCCAGCTGAAGGAAGGCGAGCCCAACCTCACTGTCCCCACAGAAGGCTGCACAACAGCCTGTAGCCAACAGAGCAGACAGGCCCCTGGGCAGCCCCTGTCCCCCAGGAGAGGGTACCTGCACGGGCGGCATGCCATCGTTGCTGCGGCGGAATTCGCCCTCGTCACCCGCGCTGACCTGCTCGTAGTCCTCCAGC